TCCAGAACTATTTCAGTAAGTAACAAGAGCAATGGGGCAAATGTGTTTGAAACAAGGGAGAGCATTTTGAGGGGGATTAATGGCTGGGTGTCTTACTGTAATAGTTGTGGAGGGTTTTTTTTGTTGTTTTTTTGCACCAGAGATCGAACTCAGGACCTTGCACTTGCGAGGCAGTTGCGGCAGCACTGAGCTAAATCCCTGGCCCTATAATAATTTTTTATTTAAACGTTCACTGCATATTTTGATCACCCCTTGTACATGGGTGATGATATATATAAGTACTACGATATTGTTTTGTAAATTGCCCCAGAATATTTCTGTAATTCATTTCTCATCTTTCTAAGGAGAGGTGATTGATATTGAGAATTTAGTCAACTTTCTAGCAAATGAGGGGATTGAACTCACAGAAGAAGAAATAATCATTTGACATTTATTGGTGAGAAGTTTTTTATAATTATCTTGTCTTTCTAAAGGTATATTTTTGTTATCCTGTACTGAAGAGCCTCAGAAACTATCTTGATTTTTGTATCATCTAGTACAGTGCTTCCTAAACTTAAATGTGCCTATGAGTCACCTGGGCAACTTGGAAAAATACAGATTTTGGTTCGGGTCTGTGGGGCCTGAGATGCTCCATGTCTAATGGATGCCCAGGTGGGGCCAATTGCACAGACCACACTTTGCCTGTAAAGTACGTGAAAGATGAAGAAAAGCAAGGATATGTTGAGATTATGACTAGACTTTTATTTCCTAAACCACAATATGCTAGTTTGTGCCTGAGGGCATGATTCCTGCCCCAAAAAGTAAGGGAAGATATTAGAGTGATTAAAATTTAAAAATAAAAATGAGTATTAGGGAGAGACTCGTAAGAGAAGCAAGAAAAGATTGGAATCAGTTGACTTTGCTTTATTGAGATTTCTACTGACTTGAGTTACATGTCTCAGCTCCAGACCCTTGTGTTATATAACTACTTTAAAATTTCTACTACTTTTTTTGTTGTTCTGATAAAAAAAAATTAAGCATATTGGAGCGTAGCATTTTTACCATAACATTTTAATGACGTTGCCAGATAATTTCTATAGTTCTGGCCTTAAATTTAAGATGGTGTCCTGAGCTGGAGATGTAGCTCACTCACAGAGCACTTGCAAGGTCCTGGGTTTGATCCTCAGTAATGAAAAAAACACTCCAGCATAATCCCCATGTACTCCTAAGGAGCCTCCTCCCCTACTTTCTTTATGTTATGCTCCAAACCAATGGAACTACTCACAGTTCCTTCAGAATACCTTGTTCCTTCCTACTTTTATCCCTCAGTTAACACAATTTCCCCTGTCTAAAATACTCCTCCTCCCTTCCATCTCCATCTATCCAAAGTCCAAGCATAAAATCCTATTTCACTGCCCCATGTTCACTGTTACATTCCTTGATTCCTATCACTATCCATCCCCTGGTCAGAAGTCCACTCTTCCTTCCCCGAACTCTTGTGGGCTTTGTTGGTACAACTCATTAGAGACTCAGAATATGCTGCCTCGTTCTTTTATTGTTTTTTATATGCTTCTGGTTCCCTGAGAACACAGAAATCAGTTTCTTGATTTTCTTTTTTCCTTTGTGGCTCTAGGGATTAAACCCAGGCCTCTACCACTGAGTTACATCCCCAGTCTAGAAACCACTCTCTTAAATCTCTGGTTTATCTCCCCATCTCCAAAAAACTCCCTTGGTGTTTCTTTTTTCAATGAATGTGCATAAATTCACTTGCTTAAGCCAAACTTCTAAGCATAATCTTTGCTTTCTCCTCTCTCAGCCTCCCACATTTATTCACCAAGTTCTATTAGTTTGTCCTACACAGTTCTACGTTGTCCACCACTTTTTTCTCGCATTTTCTATACCCTAATACTGATCAGCGTCATCTTTTGCCTGGATAATTGTAGCAGCCTCTTGGCTAATCCTGCTGCTTTCAGGCATGTTTCCTTCCAATCCTTTCACTGTCCACATCCATCCAGGCTTGAAAACCTAAATATGATCATCAAAACCTAAATATGATGTTCTAGTACCTAAATATAATCATGCCACGCTCATGGTTTAAAACTTTTTTTTTTTTGATACCGGGGATCGAGCGCAGGACCTTGCGCTTGAGAGGCAGGCAGCAGAACCACTGAGCTAAATCCCCGGCCCTCGTGGTTTAAAACTTTTAAAAGACACTCCATTTGCTCAGAACACCTTTCACAATATTAATACTATACATCTCCAGCCTCCTTTGCATTCTTCTGAACATGATCAGGTTCAGTTGCACAGACTGATTTGAAAGTTCAACAGATGTCTTGTCCTGAAACAACTATATATGCTGTCCCCTTGTCTGGGAAACAATTCCCTTCTCTAAAAGAAGCCCCTAAACCCTCCAGTTTGCTTAGATAACCTCATCTCTTGTGCTTGGGAAATTAGGCATCAGTCTTCTGCTTAGGGACTCAGGTAGATTAGAGAAATGTGCACTTCTCTTGCTCATCAGTAGTTGGGGTTTTCTTTGAATCTTCAGTCTCTCCTTTTCATTTCTTCTACTATATTGCTGAAATTTTGTTTTCATAATCCCAACATTCCCCAACTCAAGCCTGGGTGGGTAACTGATTTTACTGAAACTGCTTTGAGCTGAATGGATATCTTTACCCTTACATATTCTATACCATGTATAACTTAGGGGAATTTTTATTCAGTTTCTGTTCCACAAGTTCTGGCCTTTTGTTGCTAGGGACAGTCAGAACAAACTATGTTCAGACTTCTAGAGGAGAGGCGAAGAGATAAATGTTGTTAATATCAAAACTAAAATGTGTTGGGTCAGGGATTTAGCTCAGTGGCGCCATGCCTGCCTCGCAAGTGCAAGGTCCTGAGTTCGATCCCTAGTACCAAACGACAACGACAACAACAAAAAAAAACCCCTAAAGTGTGTAATGTTTTGTAGGACTAAAAGATTAAGTCTGCTTGACTTACAGTGAACCTAAAATTGTCCCTCCTCCACCTTGCCCTTTCCTAATAACCCTGCTTTCTTCCCCCACAGTTTCTACTATCAAGTTTATTTATTTGCATACTTTTAAAAAATTATTTCCCTATCAGAATTCCTGAGGATGCCTCTCAGGTTCCCTTCCTGTGCTTTCTCCTTTCTGGTGGCATCATGGAAAAAGCCTTCTGTCCACTTGTCTCACAGCTACTCTTTTTCTACCTTTTTCTATTGTCGCTTCTCTTGCAGGTACTGCTCTGGCCTGGATATGGTATTGTAAATCCCCAGGTTTCTATTAAGACACTTTTGCCGGTAATGTAAATTACTACAACCATTATGGGAAACAGTATATAAGTTCCTAAAAAAATTTAAAATGGAGCTACCATATGACCCAGAAATCCCACCCTTGGGTATATCCAAAGGATATGAAATCAATATGTCAAAGAAATATCTATATTCCCATGTTTGTTGTACTATAATTCCCAGTAGCCAGGATCCGAAATCAGTCTAAATGTTCATTAATGGATGAATGGAGTTTTAAAAATGATATGTATGTACACACTGGAAAACTATCCTTAAAAAAGAAGTAAATACTGTCATTTACAACAGTGTGGATGAGCTTAGAAGATTTTAAGTAAAATAAGCCAGGCACAAAGAGACAAACAACAGATGATCTTACTTATATGTGGTATCTAAAAAGATGACCTCTTAAAAGCAGAGAGAAAAATGGTGGTTATCAAGGGTTGGAGTTGAGGTACAACTGGGGAGATGTGGCTCAAAGAATATGAAATTTAGCTGGGTGTGGGGTGCATGCCTGTAATCCCAGCAGTTGGGAGGCTGAGGCAGGAGGATCACCACAAGTTTGAGGCCAGTTTAGGATACACAGTGAGTTCATAAATATATGCAGTTTTCATTTGTTGATTTAAAATAAGTAATTTTTGCTGGGTGTGGTAGTGCAAACCACCTCTAATCCTAGCACTCGAGAGGCTGAGGCGGGAAGATTGCCACAAGTTCAATGCCAGCCTGGGCTACATAGTGAGTTCAAGGCCAGCCTGAACTACACAGCAAGACCTTGTCTCAAAAGAACCAAAAATAAATAAATAAAAGTAATTTTTAAAATATCATGCTGTACGTTATAAATATGTAAAACTTTTGCTTCTCAATTTTAAAAATAACCATGCTTGGATGCAGTGACACACACCTATAGTCCTAGCTACTAAGGAACATGAAGCAGAAGAATCACTCTACCCCAGGAATTCAAGGCCAGCCTGGACAACATAACAAGACACTGTTTCCAAAAAGTAAACAAAATAAAATAAAAAGGGAAATAAACCTCTCGATTTCTTAACTTCTCAGTAGCAACTACTTTCTATCTATTTTTCTAGCTCTGTTCTCTACATCCCCATTAATATCCTCCAATATTCACTGATCCCACTTTGTTCACTTCCATAGGTCAGACTTTCATGATTTCCCTACCTAATGTTAACTCATTAAATGAAGAGTACCCACCTATGTGCTAGGTTCTGTATCAAATGCTAAGGACACAAAAAGAATGAGTCATAGCCTTTGTCTCCTCAAAGACCTTATAGTCAAATAGAGGAATAAGCACATAAGCAAAATGGTTTTGATATAATGTGGTACATGTATGCAGAAGTTAATTTGGGAACATTTAGCCAAGACTGGAGAAAAAACATGGGGAAAGATCATTCCAGTCAGAGAAACATACCCTGTGCCTTCATGGTAACGAGCACAAATATCTTGGTTCTCAAAAAAATACTTGTCAGAACAAACACAGAGCTGGTCTTTCCTTTTTCCAACTCAAAGCATTTGCCAACATATTTCTCTCCATTTCTTCACATTTTTAAAATATTGCCAATCTGAGTTGGAAAAGATGCTGCTAGATTTTAGATTTGGTTGTATTTGTGGTATCTTTTTCCCATTTGTGACCTATGGAATATCAAGACATTCCTTGAAATACATAAAAGAGAAACTATGTTAAAGAAGTAGAAATAATTATATCCCTAAAACAGTGTCTTGTATTTTATCATACTCACCTGAGAGAAAAATAAATCCAAATTCCAAAGGTAACTCATAGAAGTTTCAGCCTGTTATTTTTAATAACGTCACAATTTTATCAACTGTAACAAGTTTTTATGTGGCTGCCTCTGAATCTGAACCAAAATGTTTTACAGGAAAGGGAAAGGTTACTGTGGATTCAATAATGGAGGGCCTGAAGAAGATTACACGTGAGTGAAAATTTATGCTCTAATACAGTATTAAACTGATAATCTGATGCTAAATATTTAGGTGTTTTCTTGGTTACAAAAGTAGATGATGATGATGATGATGATGATGATGATGATGATGATTATGCTGTGAAATGGATCGATAGAGTAAAAGTAGAACTTTTCTTCTGCCCTCCTCCCACAAATGAAGAATCTCAATCTTGTATTTCATTTTTAAGTAATTTTGATTTGTTCTCTGCACCTGCATTTCCCAAATGTGACACAAAAAACTCAACAAGTCTGACTGTGTTTCAGAAAGGATTTAAGAATGTCTTAGTTACTTTTTTTTCTTGCTGCTGAAACAAAATACCCAGCACCCAAAGTTAAAAAGGGAAAGGTTTGTAGAGATTTCAGTCCATAATCGCCTGGCTCCCAGGCAGGGTGGCTTGGCAGAGGGGCACTAAGAGGAGAAGTTCATGGCAAGCAGAGCACAGCAAAAGCAAGCAAACAGGGAGGAAGACAAGCCTCTTTCTGTCTCTTGTATTGTACCCAGCCTACCAGGATTAGGGCAGTGCCAAACCAAGCAGGATGCTGATTTAGTAATCACACAGCTTTAATCCCAGAAGCACTCACTCTAGATTCAGACACATCTGCAAAAGCTCCACCTATGACCGCATGAGGCTTTGTGGGGACATCTAGACCCAAACCATAACAAAGAATAATTTAAGGTAATTTATGCAAGTATGAACAAAATGAATTTTAATAAAAATTTAAATTCTGGGTACACACATTTAATGTTTCCAAGTGAAAAAAGTACTTTTAAAATATATACCCAAAAAGTTTCCAAGTGAGTCCTGTTGTATTACTGGTGAAAAATAAAAATAAAATCTCTTTGATAAGTCTCTCTAATCTTATCTTTTGCCATTTTTGTTGCTGATGCCAGAAAGCTTTCAGGATATTCAGTTGTAGCTTTTAACACAAGCATTTTAAATGATGCTGGTGAATTTAGTGATAGTGAAGCAACCCCCCCACCGTGTTTATTTATGATCTCTGTATTCATCAATAACTATTAAATACCAAGGCACCGTTCGGGAAAGCTCAGGCATGAACAAAAAATAAGCAAGATTTCTGCTCTCACCAAGGCTTAGTTTTTTACTCCACAGTATGTGCTCAGTAAATGCTTATTGGCTGACTGAGAGAGGTTCTAATCTACTGCTTTCAGATAATTGAAGATTCACCAACTCAAGTAGCTGTGTGGCAGTCATTTTTGAGATAATTTTCCCAATCTGGGCTACCAAGAAGAAATAGTACTGTATAACTAACAATCCCAAATAATATAACAAAGTCAACCAAATCAGGACCAATCAAATTTAAAACTATACATATATATGTATCGTACCCATGCTAGGCTTAAATTTTCAACCCTCCTGCCTCAATCTCCCAGTATACAGGTGTACACCACACACCCAGCTTCCATCACTCTCCTTTCTTCTCTTCCATTTATTTTCTGTTCCTCTCATGTTATCTTCTCTGTATCTCTAAAAAAAATAATAATTTCTTTTACATAATTTTCTCTTTTGCCCCTTTTTTTCTAGTGTTGTTCTTTCTTTTCCTCCCAAAACAGAAAAGCAAAAGAAAAAAGAGAAACAAGTCCAAAATATCCCTTCATGTTTTTAAATGAGTATTTTCTTTCTAGGGTGTATAGTATTGGAATCCACCAGGTATGGGGAAGAGATAGCAAATCCCTACTAAGTCCTATTTTGTTTCCACATTCACATTTTTAGGTGTGAATGGTGAACCCTGCCCCACCTTTCCTGCTCAGCATTATTTGTCAATGGTGTTCTCCCTAGGGCTGTGTTCACTCCAGCCATTTCCAGTTTCCATGTCACTCTGTGCACCCCAAGTCACTGCTTTCTCTCCCTAGCTTTTGCCCTATGTACATATACTCTAGACTGTGGCAGCTGTCCAAACTGAGGTGTATCCTTGATCACGTTGGCAGGTGGAGAAAGTAAAAAAAAAACCCACCTAGTTCTGTGCTGGATGTAGGCAATGGGCAAGGGGAGGGGAAGGTCAACTCATCTTCTGGATGTAATCCCAGCATTTTCAGACTCAGCCCCCTCCAAAAACCACATAGGACTGCCCCAGCCTCTCACCATGGAGGGTGGGACCCCTGTGTCCTAGCTTGAGCTTACATTTCTCAGAGGGTGTATGGCTAGCCTGCACCCTCTCCATGACCATCTCATATGGCTGTCTCCCGTCTGGTTCCTGTGGTAGGGTGACCCCAGAAACCCTGAAGTGTAGTTGTTCTTTAATTATTCTTTAAGTTAGTTTTAAACAATTAACCCCTCCCAAAAATGGCTACTGAGTTACTTTCAGAGTAAACTCCTACACTGTTTTTGCAGTTTTACTGTAGGGGTATGTGTGCGTGCATGCGTGTGTGTGTGTGTGTCTGTGTGTCTGTGTGTCTGTCTGTGTGTGTGTAGCTAGTGCTGCTAGCCTGGTCCATTGTTTCTCCCTGGAGTTGCTGAACCGGAGAGTCTTATTTGGCGTTAATGAAGTCAGGTCCCACTCCATGGGAGCTGGGGTTAGCAATCCAGACTGCTTCATTATTTCTCTGTGTTGTATTCAGTTTCTCCAGCTTCTCTGTAGTTTCTAGTTTTCCTGTCAGCTCTCTACCAATTCATGGAGATCTTTTTTATTTCATCAAGTTGGTTTTTAGGTATCTTGATTCCCAGTCCCTGAGAGGCTGTATTTTGCTTCCATCTTTACTCTGCCACTTTTAATCTCCATTTCTATTTTTCTGAGGGAAAAAAAAGATGAATTCCAGTTACCTAAGCTTGATAACACAAAAATAACACTCACATGTGAACTACTTCAAGACCTGCTGATATTTCTGTCACTTAATAGTAAACATTCAGAATGCCACTTGACCTTCAGCAGTGCTTTGGTTGCAAAGTTCTATGTCAGAATTTCTAAAACTGCACTCAATAGGAATACAGAAATTCTAATATACACTTGGAAAAACCTTACTTTGTAGAAATTAAGTCTGCTTCTTATCTGGGAAAAAAAATCTTCTATGTCACCTTCCTAACCAGAATGGCGCCACATGCAGTATTCAAGAATGGCATAGGGTCCCTCTAGCAAACTAATATCTCAGGAGGGAGAAGAGCCAAGCAAAAGGAAAGAAGAGGAGAAAGATTGTATGGGATGAGAGGTCAGAGGACAGGAAGGAAAAAGTGTCTGACAGTTTTTTCTTAATTCTATAAATTATATGTTTTGAATTTGAATTAACCTATACATCAATAAATAAGATATTTATTCTCATGTTTAGAAAACAAAACTACCCTACATTTTGAAAGGAAAAAGCGAATAAATTATAAAAGAATAGTCTCAGTTTCAATTCTGCCTCTAAGGTTTTCAATTTTTTGTCTTTGGAGTTCAATACATTAAGGGAAAAAGAAGCATATGAATTAAGATGGATAATTGCATATAACTTTGACCTTTTCCCTTAGTTTCCCATTTATCTGGGGAAAAAATAAGATAAAATGCATCCCTCCTATTCTACTTTCCCTAACTTCAGAAATTTATATGAGGGTCCTGAGTTCGATCCCCAGTACAAAAAAAAAATTGACTCTTAATTCAGTCCTTAAGCAAATAGAATGATGACTGTATGTAAATTGATAAAAACTGCCAATGAAACCTAATAAGGAAGCATTGTTAGGCGCCCAGCAGAGTGGCACACACCTATAATCCCAGCACTCTGGGAGACTAAGGCAGGACCACAAGTTTGACCTCCAGCCAGGCTGCTTAGCAAGACTCTGTCTCAAAATGAAAATAAAAAGGGCTTACGAGGTAACTCAGTGTGAAGGGCCTAGGTTCACTCTCCACCGCTGGAAAAAAAATAGGAGTTAATACTTTGACTTACAACCTTTAATCCCTTAATTATTTTCCCTAATTGTCTTGTCAGTTTCTACCCTCTGTCTATTAAGGTGACTGGACACCGTTACCTCTCCGTTTTCCAAAGTTCCTTTTGCCTTTACAGTCCATGTCACACTGCACCACTTTGATTATCAGATATACTGTTGCTAAGGGCTTCATTTGCTGTCTTTTAACCCCTAATTACATTGTAACTGTTTGATAACATAGTGCAGTTTACAAAGTAGGTATTCCTCACTCTGCCATTAAATAAATTAATTCAATAAAATGAAAGGAGTAAATTTGTTTGATGATGTATTCATTCTCTTTTATCTATTCTCTTTTAGCTTTAAAATTGTGAGAGTAACTTTTGTGGTTGAGAGGACACTATAAAGAAAGTGAAAAAACAATGTACAGATAGGAGACAATATTACCAATAAGAATTTAGTATCCAAAATATATCAAGAGCTCTTACAACTCAACAATCAAAATTATTCCTCCCTTATCTGTAGTTTTGCTTTCCACAGCACCAATTACCTGCAGTCAACTGCAATCCAATATTTTAAATGGAAAATTCCAAAAATAAATAATACATATGTTTTAAATTGCATGCTCTACTGAGTAGTATGATAGTAATTGTTATCTCCTATCCTGCTTGGGACATGAATCATCCTTTTGTCCCCTATTTACATACTATTTGCATTACCCACCCGTTAGTTACTAAGTAGCTGTCTCGGGTGTATCAACTATCACTGTATTCCATTGCTTATGTTTATGTAATCCTTGTTTTACTTAGTAGTGACCCAAAACCACAAGAAGAGTAATCCTTGCAATTCAGATTTGCCAAAGAGAAGCCATAAAATACTTCCTTTAAATAAAATGATGAAAGATCTTGACTTAATAATGAAAAATTATTGTTGTTAATCTCTTACTATGCCTAATTTATAAATTAAACTTTATCATAGGTATGTATATATATGAAAAAACAGTGTATCTATAAAGCTAGGTAGTATCGGTAGTATCAGGCAACTACTAGGGCTATTGGAACATGTCTGCTGAGGGTAGGAAGGGATTATTGTAACCCAGATTTTTCAATGGACAAAGGATATGAATAGACATTTCTTTACAGAAGATATAAAAATGACGATTAGCACATAAAAAGATATTCAATATCATTAGTCATTAGAGAATACAAATCAAAATCACAGTGAAATATTTCAGACTGGTTAGGATTAATGTAATAAAAACAACAAGCATTAATGAAGATGTAGATAAATTGAAATTCTCATACATTACTGGTATGAATATAAAATGGTGCAAATGGATAAATGCTATATTTGTTGAATTAGTGAAGAAACTAACTGAAAGCTACATAGACTCATAAAAAGATAAAATATTAAAAATCAGAATATTTAGAAGTTTGCAAAACAAGGATTAGACAACTTAATATTAAAACTTAAATAAGGGGGGCTGGGGATTTAGCTCAGTGGTTTTGATGCCTTCTGTGCAAGCCCAAGGACCTGAGTTCGATGCCTGGTACCAAAAAAAAAAAAAAAAAACAACTTAAATAAGGGCCGGGCATTTAGCTCAGTGGTTCCGCCACCTACCTCGCAAGCGCAAGGTTCCAAGTTCAATCCCCAGTACCAAAAGAGAAAACTTAAATATTAAAACTTGCTGTAAAAATTGATCCTAGAAATATTTTCTGACATTTTGTATGGGCTTTTGCCATGAACCAATGAGGACATAATTGTACATGTAGAGCAGCACTATTCATAGTAGTGTCCACATAGACGAATGGATAAGCCAAAGGCAGTATATCCATTTAATGGAATTTTATTCAGCCCTTAAAAGGAAGAAAGCTGTGACCCATGCTACAAAATGGATGAACCTCAAGGATATTAATGCACAGTGAAATGAGCCAGTCACAAAAGGACAAATACTGTATGGTTTCACTTACATAAGACATCTTTAACAGCCAAGTGCATAAAAACAGAAAATATGGTGGTTGTCAGGGTCTGGAAGGATGGGGAAATGTTGAGATGTTATTTAATGAGCACAGTTTCCACTTTGCAAGACGAAAATGTTCTGTAGATTGGTGGTGCAACAAAGTGAATATACTTATCAATACTTGTTACTATGGTAAATTTTATGTAATATGTCTTTTACCCCAACTAAAGACAAAGGATAATTTAAAATTTTACTTCTAGCTGGGTACAATAGCCACTTGGAAGGCTGAGACAGAATGACTTGAACCCAGGAGTTTGAGATCAGCCTGAGAAACATAGTGAGACTTTGTCTCTTTAAAAACCACAAAAACAAAAGCAAATTTTTTTTTTACTTCCCACCAACTCCATGTTAATAGGAACTGTCATTATCCCCATTTTCAATTTGGTTGCCTTTAACATAGTAAGTCCGTAGTAGATACTTCTTGAACTAATTTGTAAATTAAACCTGTCCTGGGCCGGGGATTTAGCTCAGTGGTGTTGCCACCTGCTGCACAAGGGCAAGGACCCGAGTTTGATCTCCGCTATCAAAAAAAAGAAAAAAAAAACCTGTCCTTTATCTTCCCTTGTTTTTGTTCTTAATGCACTAAGTTTGAAAAGACCTGGGTAAAGTCAAATCATACTTATAAGGAACAAACTCCCAGAGCAGGAGTGGAAAACTTTTAGAAATGCTGCTGCTAAGTGAATCCAGAAGCACTTTTGGAGGCTCCAGTGCATTACTAGCTAAACTCTGGGTACCACAGTCTGTGGTTACCCATAAACAAACATGCCTCTCTTACTGTGCCTAATTTATAAATTAAACTTTATCTTAGGTATGTCTGCATAGGAAAAAACATAGTCTATATAGAGTTTGGTATTAACTGTGGTATCAGGCATCCACTACAGGTCTTGGAATATATTCCCTAAGGGTAAGGGAAGATCATTGTAACCTAAATTTTGAAATGGACAAAGAATATGAATAGACATTCCTTCACAGAAAATATGAAAATGACGATTAGCACATAAAAAGGTGTTCAACATCATTACTTACTAGGGAAACTCAAATCAAAACCACAATGAATCTAACTCCTACACTAGGATTTACAGTTCCATGAGAGAGGTCAGATCATGAATACTATGATACCTGCTTAACAGAATCAATCTTTTTGTTTGTTTTTTATTTTGTTTTTTGAGACAGGGTCTTGCTATGTAGTCTAGGCTGGGCTTGAACTCACTGCAATACTCCTGCCTCAACCTCCTAAGTGGTGGGATTACAGGCATATGACACCACACCCGGCTCTTAATTGCTTTTTTTTTTTTTGGTACTGGGGATCGAACTCGGGTCCTTGCGCTTGCACAGCAAGCGGCAAAACCACTGAGCTAAATCCCCAGCCCTCTTAATTGCTTTTTAAAGTCACTTTTCTTACTAATATTAAAGTTTATAAGCTTATGAGAGTGATTTTTTTTTTGCCCTTCTTTTTAGACCTAATGATATGGCTTGGGGTTTCTGTTGTTTGTTTTCGGTTGTCTGTTTTGTGGTACTGGGGATTTGCTCCAACACAGGAATGAATTTGTGGGTCCTCTCCCTGGGCCTGAGCTAGAGCAATGAATGAGGTCACAGTTGCGTGATGGAACAGACCCTTTGTTGGGCTCTTGATCTGATTGAAGGCCCAAAGTGGTGAGTGGCACAGCTTAAAAGTAGGTAAAAAATCAGAATTTTTACAGTTCTATGCTGAGTCCTTTTTTAAAAAGAAAACACTGTCATGTCTTTGAGGGATTGAAGTTTGTTTTAAAATGATGATTTTCAACATAAGGATGATTTCAAAGCACCTTTCAAGTACCTAACTTGTTGAACATCTCTGGAGTTCCCAGCTGTGTGGTAGGTTTCTAGATTCCGAACATCTGTAATTGAGTTGTTTAGAAACAACTACACTCCAGGTTCTGAAGTAAAGACCTGGGGAAAAATGATTCTAATCAGACATTAAGAAACTTTTTTCTTCATGGTTTAATAGTATTTATTGTTCATTATTCCTGTTAATGACCCACTTTTCTTGTTTTTGAGCCACCGAAAAGACAAAAATTTGCTATGTTGCCTAGGGTGGCCTCAAACTCAATGTCTTCCTGCCTCAACCTCCCAAGTGCTGGGATTACAGGAATGCGTCACACTCCTGGTTCACTCCACTTCTAGAAAAGATAACTGAAGCTATAAAATGAACAAAGGTGGAAGCCCTACCACCCAACCTGTGGTCAATAGGTCCTGTCTCTCAAACTATGCAGAGTGGTAAAGGGAGGACTAGAGCAATGGTTTTAGTGAAGAAGTCGATTCAAGAAGGTCTAGAGTAGCAAACAGCATTTTATTCCATACCCACTCCTACTTTTAAGAAAGACTTTGGGGCCAGAAGAACTGACAGGGCAGGGATGTGCATCTCAGAAGGAAACCCTGAGAAAAGCTACGTACTACCAGTCAGGTGCCTAAGGCAGAAACAAGGAGGCAGGTATTTAAAATGCTATAACATTTGCCAATTAGAACTTGAAATGTTCTGCTTCATAAATAAATTTTGCCTTTAAATAACTTTTTCCATGGGGCCAGGGATTTAGCTAAGTGGTTCCGGCGCCTGCTGCACAAGCACAAGGTCCCAAGTTCGATCCCTGGTACAAAAAAAAACAAAAAACCCCAACTTTTTCCACATATTTCTAGGATGCTTTATCTGATTCACTTGGCACCATTTTTTATGATTTAAGATATATAACATGATGGTTTTGTGTATGTATACATTGTGAAATAATCACACAATCAAGCTAATTAATATATCAGTCATTTCACACAGTTACTATTGAGAGGAAGTGAGAACACTGAGGCTGTGCTCTCTTACCAAATTTCAAGTACACAGTGCAATACTGTTAACTGTAATCACCATGCTATGCATTAGATCTTTGGAACTCACTCATCTCGCATAACTGAGAGTGTGCACTCTCATATCCCCCTCTTTCCAACCATTCTACTCACTCTGTGAGTGACTATTTTAGATTCCACATAGGAATAAGTGAGAGCACACAGTCTTTTCGAGTCTGGCTTATTACACTTAGCATTTATTTTTTGTTTGTTTGTTTTTTGGTACCGAGATCGAACTCGGGACCTTGTGCTTTCGAGGCAGGCAGCGGAACCACTGAGCTAAATCCCTGACCCCAGCATTTATTTTTATATAGCATCAGAGTGATAATACAGTATTTGAGAGGAGGAGCAGTAATAAGAAATTTTGCTTTCAGATCTAGGGAAAATAAAAGGAATTTTCCACATTGCCTTCCAACTTTGCCCATAACTCTAATGTGAATTTGCATATAATCATTACTTGAGGCTCTAGACTTCAACCTCCAAGCCTTGCACTGGAAAAGTTCCAAAAGAGTATAAAGAAACTAATCTGTGAATTGATCCTTAATTGCATTTTCTGAGTTCCAGACGCAGTTACTGGCCACATGGCAGTTTCAGAAATTAAATCAAAACTTACGTTGAAACCCCTAAAAGTACCTGTCTTCCACAGCAAGAGGTAGGTAATGGAAGTGTTACTATATTATGATAAAGAATTATTAATGTAGTGGATATATTATTAAATACCCATAAAGGCTATAAGACAAGTTAGAATGCTCTTCAAATATCTGTTCTGTGGAGAATTTAGTTATAAAACAAAACATTTAAATTGAGAAAGCTTTTTATGAAAAGAAAATGATAAACCTCTTTTTTGACTAGAGAAACAGTTTTCCTTCCTGTTCTCCCAAATGAAATGCTATTTTTGGTTAGGACACAGAATACCCTAGACTGCTCAAGGAGTTGTCAGTTATACCCTAAGGTATTTTGAGTGCCAGTTTAAAGGAAAATAAATTCAGAAGACCTTAAGGTAGAGCTTAACCCCTAAGCAAGTCAAAATATAGAAAAAGGGTCTATATGACAAATACAGCCCGTAAAAGGCAATCTGGTAGATTACCCATGACTAGCCTTAGGCTAAAACTGAGGAGGGAAATTTGCTTGTATCATTAACAATAGCTTTCTCTCAAGCAGTTACCAATAAACTCCAAAATCACAGCTACTAATAACTGAAAGAGCCCAAGATACATTTTACCAGATTATAAGAAGAAAAACTCCTCTCTTTTATCACAGTTGTTCATTTTCTTTACCACCTTGAGGATATTTTTGCTAGTGTTCTTGGGTTTGCCAGTGCTAAAAAAAATCGTATCTCTAACACTTTTTAGATAATAATGGGTAAAATAACCTTATAGCAGCCAAACCCTTAGTATTACTGTTCCCTTACCCCACATGAAAAGCTATCTTTTGTGTTGGGTTGGGTTGAGTTGGGCTGGGTTGGGTTTGGTTTTGAGTCATGTTCTTTTTATGAATCTCAGGCTGGCCTTGAGCTCACTATGTAGCCCAGGCTGGCCTCAAACTCCTGATTCTCCTGCCTCAGCCTCCCTGGTGCTGGGAATTTCAAGAGTGTACCACCACAGCTGATCAGCTGCCATTTTTTCCCCCCAGCACTAGGGATTGAACCCAGGGAGTGATGAGCTATTTCCCCAATCTTTTCGTATTTTTATTTTGAGGCAGAGTCATACTATATTGCCCAAGCTGACCTTGAATTTGTGATCCTCTTGCCTCAGTCTCCAAAGTAACTGAGATTACAAATGTGTGCAGCTGGCACAAGCTGCCTTTTGAAGCGGTGAGTTCCTTGTCACAAAAAGTAGTCTAGCAAAGACTAAATAATACCACATATAGAGGAAATTCACACCCTAAATGAAAGGCTGGACTGGGATCATTCTAAATCAAAGGTTCTACAATCATTTGTGGGTTGCTCACTTCTCCTTCTGAAGTTAAATTCCAGGTTCTCATCATGAACAAAGAATTTTTTTGGCGGGGGGTACCGGGGGCCTAACTCAGGACCTTGTACTTTTGAGGCAGGAGGCAGAACCACTGAGCTAAATCCCCGGCCCCTTGAACAAAGAATTTACAAAATGAGCAAAAAGCAGTGGCAAAGTTTATTTGAAAAAGTGAAAGTGAAGAAGAGTGAGGGAGAACCTGGCTCTGCAGAAGAAACTTGGGCCGAGTAAAAGAGGAAAAAGCAAGATAAGAGTACACCCTGTAGAAAACAAGGCAGGCTATCATGAGGAAAGCCATGATAGCCAGCTCTTCTTGGCATCTGTGTCCTTTTATATTGTCCAAATCTCGAGGCCAGGCATGGTGGTGCACACCTGTGATTGCAGCACTGGGGAGGCTGAGGCAAGGAGGATCGCCATGAGTTCAAGACTAGCCTGAGCTACATAGTGAGTTCAAGGCCAGCCTGAACTATACAGTGAGACCTTGTCTCAAAAAAAAAAAAAAAAAATCTGGAGGAAAACCACGAGAATTTCTACATATGGATCCTGAGAGGCGGTGCTGGGATCCCACACCTCAAGTTGATAGGAGGTCTAAGCATCCTATTGAAAACCTGCTCAAATTCCCAGAAGTCCACGGTTTTGGGAACTGTTCTGCCGTGTGTTCTAGGATCTTGTAATTAACAGGTCCTGCCTACTTTCCCAGCTTTGCACCCTAATCTCCTATGTCAATTTGAAACTTATATAAAATAGAAACGCTTTCTCCAGTGTTTGGTCTAAGATAGGGTTTGAAACTGTGCCAAAAGTCTCCTTCCATAATGCAACTAATAAAGACCTTATACTGCATAGAACAAATGCAAGGTCAAAACTTATGCCTTCCTTTTGCTTCTTGACAACACACTTCTGTATCTGCTGCATCAAAAGATGCATCACGCTAAAGAAATTTGTTCATATCTACAAATACAAAATATTTGCCTTAGTAAAGGCAAACTTGAGTCTTCAGAATTTCAAGTAGGTGATTTCAGAAGAAGAAATCAGTGTTACTATAAGCTAAGAAAATAAGGCAAGTTCAATAAATATCCATGTTACAAATTTGAGAACAATACCTTTTAAAAGCTTATCACAGCTGGGCTGTAGTGTGGCTCAGTGATAGAGGGCTTGTTCCAACTCCAGCACTGCAAATGGATGGATGGATGGATGGATGGATGGATAGATAGATAGATGCTTATCATTTCCTTTTCTCTCCAGTCCCTCTTTGAAAATGAGTTGAAAATAATATTCTAGAGGATACTAAATTAATAAAACCTAATAATTTTATTGTTTAATTTCAATGTTTATTTCTTTTAGTTTATCTTTAACCAATAGCTTTTTATAAAACCACAAAAACTAAGAGATTCCATAATTTGTAAACTTTTAGTTCTGTTAGTTTCAAAACTCAATGCATTTTAAATAATACAAATCTATAAAAGTATGGTTGCTTTAATTAATTTATATTTCATTAAATCTTATTTAATTTACCATATTATAAGCAAACCCAGTCTTACAGAATACATTTCTGTGTTCCTAAATAAGTTATTATGAATCTATACAAAGTGTCTCCTAAATATTAATATTTTCCCTCCTTTTCCAGATTTTTCTTTCCTAGGAAAATGAAAGGGCAACCAAAGTTCCAAACTTTCTGGAAGTGTTCTCTGTCTTTTTCTGTCTTTCACATATGTGGTAAAAATAAAATTTTGCAATTAAAGTTGTAAAATAATCATAGATGCAAACATTTCTCTATAAGGATATACATCACAGCATTATGTGTACTAAAATTTTGAAACAATTTATATTTCTAAGGACAGGAGAATTTAAGACTTTTAGCCTGACCTGGGATAAGTTATTTAATAGCTCTGACCCTCAGTTTCTTGTTTTACAAAATGGAGGAATTCAGAGTTTTTTAAGGGAGGCAAGGATGACTGTCAAGTATAGCGCAGAGGTGTGGACCCGAGGGGCCAACATTTTCTCACTGTCCATCCTGTGTCTGATGGCAAGTGACAGAAACCATCCCCCTGGGAAACATGACTCTGCATGTATTATCATGTTCACATTCATTCCAGTCAGCAAAAACTAATGAATGGCACTAATGTTTGCTCCTTTGACTTACATACATATTAAATTTAAATCTTTTCATGTCTCTTCTCAGGGATAAAGATTTACCAAGATCTCTTCAGTGCCAATTACAACACACAGAAAAGTTGAGCCCTTCACAAATGGAAGGTAATGAGAATCACCCCAAAAGTTACAGCATAAAAGACAGCCCCTTAATATATACAATCCCTTCTTTAGTACAGATTTAGGATTTCAAGAGGTGTCTACACTCCTTCATTTAAGAGAAGAGGGCTATGGATGTAGCTCATGTATGAATCTCGGGGTTCAATCCTCAGTACTGGGAAAAAAATGCTTTAAAAAATGCTGGGTGTGGTGGCACACACGTGTAATCCCGGCGCTCAGGAGGCTGAGGCAGGAGGATCGTGAGTTGAAGCTAGCCTTGACTACATAGGGATTCAAAGCTAGTCTGTACTACAAAGAGAGATCCTATTTCAGAAAACCAAAAATAAAATTAAATTTAAAATGAAAAAAAAAATCACCTTTATTACTAAGAAATCTGGTTTGGAAAACAGAAAGGATTGTCAAGATCAGATTTACATTTTGAGTTTTTTGTTTTTTGTTTGAATTTGTATTTTTACTTATAAAACTAAGATACATGCTTTAACAGTTTTGAAGTTTCTAAAGTGCCTTTGTAGTATGTTGTGCTGTTTGTTTGTTTGTTTGTTTCTTTGGAGTTTTGTTTTTGGTGCTAGGAGTTGAAACCAGACCCTTACTGAGATACACCCCAAGTCCTTAAGAAATTTGTGGGGTTTTTTTTCCGATTAATTTTATTGGTACATTTTATTGGTACTCTTTAGGTATACAATTCATTTACATTTATCATTGGGTGTGTGTACCTGTACATGATATATCTTGGTTCTTATTTTTTTCCCCAAGAAATTTGTTTTAATCAGATATGATAAGTAACATGTGGACACAGAGATGATTTTCATGGAGATGTGTTTTTATATTCGTAGATCCCTAAAAACAGAAGGCACAGCATACCATGACATGGCAAAAAATCAACAAGAGGCTTTACTGTGATATTTGCACAAAGGAACAGGCAAGGCAGAATAAGCAGATTTAGGATTAGCTACACTGAAGAACTTCAGTGACCCTCTGGGGTTTGGGACTGTCCCTCACTTGGTCTAGGACCTGGATCTGGGGTTAGTGGGCCCGGCACATAAGAGCCAGAGAAGGTAGATGGTTAAGAGATGGTGTCCAGATGGGCTGGTGTGCATGTGAAAGGCATATATATAAACTAGCTGCTTACTATCACTGGGAACTAACTAGGCCTGTGAGGGGCAGGCCCTGCAGGCTTAGCAAAGGCCAAGAGGTCAAACCATCAAGTATAAAAGTAGAAAAACTGGTTATTCAAATGCTTAATCCTCATAACTTTCCTATGAGAAGTTAATTTGTTCATTCTGCACACTTGTTTTTTTTTGGTTTTTTTTTGAGATGGAGTCTCACTTTGTAGTTCAGGCTGGCCCTGAACTCCCTATTTAGCCCAGGCTAGCCTTGAACTCGCAGCAATCCTCCTGCCTCTGCCTCCCGAGTGCTGGGATTACAGACATGCACTACCACACCCATCCTCTGCATACATTTTTTGAATACCTCAAAACCCCAGAATATCCCACCTTCACTCTCAGTGTATATCCTTGCTTCCTACTTCACTCAAAACCAAAGCAATCAGAACAGAATTTCCAGATTTCCACCTCTGTATCTACCTCCCTACCAGTGTCTATACCCACATATTTTGCCTTCCACTACTTTTTAGTACAACTTGAGCAACAAAAATAAACAATTCAGAATTGGATTAAAACCCAAAGTATAAAATAAACATCCATGAGGCCAGGATTAGTTTCACATATCTATAATCCTGGCTACTCAGGATTCTGAAGCAGAAGGATGGAAAGTTCAAGGCCAACGCCTGTCTCAAAATAAGGGCTGGGGCTGGGGTGTAGTTCAGTGATAGAAGCATGTTTGAAGCCCTGGATTTAATCTCTAGCATCACAAAAAATATTTTTTAATTAAACATCCATAAGTCCATACTGATTGAATTCTTTTTTTTTTTCAATTTTTATTTTTTATCAGTACATTTTTGCAGTTCATATGGTAGTGGTATTAAAGGGAGAAATGAGGTTGCAATGTTTTTGTTTTGGGTTTGGGTTTTGGATTTTTGAGACCAAGTCTCACTGTGTAGTCCAAGCTGGTCTTGAACTCACTGTGTAGTACAAGCTGGCCTTGAATTCATGGAGATCCTCCTGCTTCAGCCTCCCGAGCGCTGGGATTACCGCGCTGGGATTACCGGCATGAGCATGTGTCATCATGCTCAGCACAATGTATTTTTTAAGGGAGAAATAACAGTACATTTGCATGATCGTAGGAATAATATATAGATAGTAAGATTGGATGTTAGAGACAAAGGAGACCTTTCTTAGATAATATATTTGAATATGGGAGAGAAGATAGGTTCTAATCTACAATGGAGGGGCTGGATCTAGATAAAAGATAAAGTTTACTTGTGGAACAGCAAAGTATGTGGATACAGATCTTGGTAGGGAGGAAGACATGGAGATGTGAGTCTGTAGAACTTGTCTCTTCTTTCCAACGCTCCCCTCCAACATTATTTTTTCTCATAGTATACACCACCTTCCAAAATAGTACCTAATTTACCTATTATACTTAATATGAGAACTCCATTGCATGAATGAATGCATGCCTAGAACATGCTAGAGAGATTAGGAGAAGGTAGAAAGGAGTCAGGATAATTTGGTTCCAGTCCTAAAGAAGCTGCATTTTACCAAGAGAGAAAGGTGTCACATTTCCACAAAATTATAAGATGGACATCATTTTCTCTATAAAATTAATCACTCATAAATACAGATGCTAAGACTTGACTGTGATATGAAATAAATTTCGCCTGGTGCCATTTGGAATATACTTTGTCCTGGGTTTGTTTTTGCATTCACTAATTTTAGAAAATACATGTCTGATTTTGGCTCTAGTTTATGCTGGAGAGAGGGTTGGTCCTGGGATGGAATGCAGGGACTCGCACATACTAGGCAAGCTGTCTTGTCCATAGCCCACATGTGCTGGAGCAGGGCAGTAGGTTATTAAGAGACCGAAGAAAGTACCCAGACAGCTTGTGAGAGATAAGGTTTATTAAGAGTGACAGGTACTAACAGGGTAGGATACGGTTAATTGCAGCTTACTATCAGGGGTAGTTTACAAGAAACATGTAGGGGTCCAATAGTGCTAGTTGGCAGAATTGCACAGAGGGTGTGCACTCACCAGCACTGCTAGGCAAAATCCCATAAGGGACACATTTTCTACAACAGCACTGCTCAGCAAGTCCACAAGGGATGTGTACTTAACAGCAGCACCTCTGTGGAGGCCCAGTGATAATAGTTTAGACAAGCATTTACCAAATTGGAGCATCCATGGTGACCACCTGGACTACAGGACTCCACAATGCTCTGTCCCTCACGCAGCTGTTGCAGGGAGGAAGTTTCACAGATTAAACTACATCACAGTGACATCATTAGCTTGCTTTGTTCTATTTTATGACCAGCATTTCAAGGAATGGCTAATTTAGCATACTGACAGGAAGGCAGATCTACAGATAATATTAGTTTGCCCAGTTCCCAATGTAGCTCATTCAGACATTCTAGTCTCTACTTATGATGTCCCCTTAGTTTGGCAAGAGCCTGGGTAACATGTAGGGATGTTTCAAGAACATGAGGCTAAATGCCCTAGTTTTTCTCAGGAACAATACACAACTGCTCTACCACTGAGCTCTATCTCCAGCCCTTTTTTATTTGAGACGGAGTCTCACTAAGTTGCCCAGGTCAGCCTCAAATTGTGATCCTCCTGCCACAGCCTTCCAGCAGCTGGGATTACAAGTATGTGCCACCACACCCAGCTTCAGTTAGTGCTTTGAATATTTCTTTTTAAAATGGTAGATCTGTATAAAAGACACATACACAAATATTAAATTTGGCTTCAACTTGGTGCATCAGCTTTCTATTACTGCCGTAACAAATTGTCACAAATTCAACAGCAAAACAGTATAAATTCACTGTCTCAAGTTCTGTAGGTCAGAAGTCCAGGCAGGGTTGGCTGGTTTCTCTTCTCCAGGTCTTACTAGGGTGAAATTCAAATGCTGGCCACCCTGAGCTCTTATTTGGAGATTCTGGAGAATCTGCTTGCAATCTCATTCAGATTTGTGGCACAATTCAGTTCTTGCAGCTATTTGGCTGATGTCCCCAGTTTCTTTCCTGTCTGCCAGCCAGGAGTCTCCCTCAACCCCTTCCAGCTGCCAGCACTCCACATCACATTGCCCGCCATCTTCATACCCGCAGTGGTGGGTTGAGTTTTTCTCGTGCTCTGAATCTCTCTGACTTGTGCCACATCTATCTTGCTTCTTCTTCTACAAGGAGTCCTGAAGTTAGATTGGGACCACTCAGGTAATCCAAGCCAGTATATCTTCTCTACATCTCCTAAGTCCCTTCTATCATATAAAATAACATATTCATAGGTTCCTGGAATTAGGACATGAACTTTTTGAAAGGCTATTTCACCTGCCACGTCTGGTTTTCGGCTCTTCCAATTAGTTTATTCCAGTTCAAATCTCAAGGATTGACAATGTCCTATATTAAAGATGTCTATTAAATATTCACTTTTAATTCTACTTCTCCAGCCTTCCAAGATGCCTATAACTCCTTCAACAAGGATAAAACTGGTTGTATTGATTTAAATGGAATGATGAGCACTTTAGCTAAATTAGGAATGAATTTAACCAAGCATGATGTCTATAATGAATTAAAATGTGGTGATCTTGATCGTAAGTATTTTGATGTCGCATTCTTTTTTAAAAAGACTTCTGAACACATATTTTTTTCCTCAGTGATTGTATAAACAGAGGAAATAAACCTCTATTGTATATACATTTGTTTAAAAAAAAAACGTAAACGAAAGTAAAGAGTACCCTTACCAAAAAATGGAAACAAGGGCCGGGGATTTAGCTCAGTGGTTCCGGTGCCTGCTTCACAAGCACAAGATCCTGAGTTCGATCCCCGGTACCAAAAAAAAAAGAAAAACACAAAAAAAATGCAAACAAAATCTTTGTAAATGGGGAGGGGTGGAGAAGTTGAAGGGAGGGCAGGGGAATGGGGAAAAAATAAGAACCAAGACATATCATGTAAAGATACAAATTCCCAATGATGAATGTCACTATATTGTGTACCTAAAATGTATCGAGACAATTATTTTTTTAAAAAAGAGGTTATAAAAAAAAAAGAGTAGCCTTACCTTATCTGCCTGTTTCACTTTCCATGGTTTCAGTTATCCACAGTCAACCACAGAGCAAAAATATTAATATTTGTCTTGACTCTTTCAAGAGATGCTACATTCACATAGTTTTTATTAACATACATTACTATAGTTGATCTATTTCATTTTTAGTTGTCAATCTGTTATTGTGCCTAATTTATAAATTAAACTTTATCATATGTATGTATGTACAGGAAAGAACATAGTGTACTTGGGGTGCAGAACTATCTGAGGTTTTAGGCATCCACTAGGGGTCTTGGAATGTGTCCTCTGTAGATAAGAGGAACCACTCTATGTGCATGTTTACCTTGAAGAATATCAGTGAGGTATGTGGGTAAGTTATGAAGTCAAATTAATGCTATGAAATGCAGTACTCTTTTAAAAACCTAGTGTGGAAACGGTGACTGTCCTCTCAATATCACAATATTCAAGTTACCTGTCACGATGCCCATTTTGGACAAAGCCTTGAAATAACAAGGCATAAACAGTTTCAAAAATGACATATTACCAAGGAAATCCAAGCCTTTGTTCCCATCTGAATCATTAGTACAGATCTTTCTGCAATCATTATAGCCCACCTATACTAAATTTTAAATCCCATAGCATTTTTGTTGATATTTTTCAAACATACAGATTTATGTTTCTGCTAGTATACCAATCTACTGATCAGTGGTCAAGGCTGTTATGTTGTGTGGAAAATATATTCAGCACATTATCTCCTCTCACTTCTCACCCAGAGCCCATTCAGTCAACATCAGTTCTACTCGTGACTCAGTGTCATTGGTTAATTAAGGTATCATTTGTTGTTTCCACTAACTCTGCCTGATTTTTCTGTTCTTTCATGTAAACACAGCCGCTCCTCAAGTAGCACTCACTATCCTTTAATTTTAGAGGAAATGAGGTATAACTTGGGTAATGTTAAAACAAAAATAATAGGAGTAGATACAGAGTGGAAAGGTTGGTGGATTCCTTGTAAAAATTCCTTGCAAATCTCTGGAAAAGGTTGAATGCACAGGACTACAAGGCCTGGGAACCCCTGGCTGAATGTTTACGTCCTGCCCTTATTTCTGTGGCCTGCAGGAGACAATGTAATGTTGTTAAAATCACTTCAAGAAGACCTGAACAAATTAACGTGCACTGATTTTAAATATTAAGTGACCCCCAGGGTACTTTAACTATCATACTTAACATATAGCCTAATAATTTAAGCACATCTTATCCTTGTTCTGAGCTTAGATTTCTGTTGTAGGAGATGGGAAGGTGAACTTCTCAGACTTCTTAAAGGTGCTGACAGATAAGAACCATTTCTTGAAGGCTGTGGGTGAGTAGATGTTACGAAACAGATGGCAGTTTGGTAGCTACAACCCACTGCATAGTAAACATTATTCACTGAGGCCTCCAATCAAGAGACAAATCAGGAAAGAGTAATCTGGAATGTGATTTATTTTTAAACTGCTTCCCCAAAACAATATCTGCTACGCAAACTAATGCTGTTTTAGAATTTTAACTTATATATATTAAGGAGGTACTGGTGTTGTCTAAAGGATTCCTACATTTGGTCTCAAAGAGAACACTCGGGAAAGTGATAGGTATAGAAAAATGTGGTCTCCTTTTATAGTGTTTTAATTTTTTATCAAGTTTATGTCCTACTTTCAGAAGCATTCTTTTTACAAAAGAAAATAAGTCCTTTCTTTAGAAGAAAAAAGTGATCTCTCTCATGTAGATTTGGACATGGATAATTTATTGCTCTTCAAGGTATTTTTTTTTTCTTCAAGGTGTTTTTCAAAATACCTTCCTCATACTGATGAAGCCTCTAACTCAGTGCAAGTCTGCTTGAGGTTAGAGTGCATGTTCTCATGTGAGGCTATACATGCTATGTAAGAATGCTTGAGATATTGCGAGTAGTACTCTCATGGTTTGTTTTTAAGCTTACAAGACTGCCTGCCTTGGAAAATCTAACCACTACTCATATCATATTTTCTATGATAATACATTCCAAAGTTCAAATCCTCTATGCAGTTTTGAAAACACACCCATTTCTAGACTATAGTGTCCTTAGGATTAAAAAAAAGTTACCATTTCCAAATACTAAAATAAAAACGGAGGCTGGGGATGTAGCTCAGTGGCACTGCTCCTGCTTCGCAAGTGCAAGGTCCTGAGTTCAATCCCCGATACTAGAAAAAAAATAAAATAAAATAAAATGAGAGTTTTCTTACAAACCAAGGATATATTTATCAACGATTTCTTTGCTTAGAGGAACAAGACAGTAGTCTTTAACATATAATTCATTCTTGTAAAAGTGTTATATATTTACTTAGAAGACATTGAACTAAAAGTATTTTATATTAAGTGATTATTCTGTTTGCCCCTTAATCAAAATGATCTTTCAACAAAACAGAACAAAATTTTGTTTTACTATATCTTTAGTTCCTGACCTGATATTATTATTATTATTATTGTAAATAGTAAAAAGACTGTCATCTTATTACTTTTTTGATAAGTGCTTTGTTCAGAAGACATTTTGAAACTTTTTTTTTGTTCCCCTCCATAGCTCCAGAAAAGGAAATTTGTTTAGATTTAACTGGCAACTCAGGGATCCTATTATTTGAAATCCTATCAAAGCTTGTAGAGACTTCAGCCTTACCCAGAAAGACTGTAATGGAGATAGTAAGGTAAGTGGCAAGGAAAGAGACAAAACAGCCTTCCCAGAAGCATTTATAAGGATATCTCAATAACACTCTTCTCTACAGCATCTGGCCCAAAACTTGGAAAAGGGCCAGGCATGGTGGCACACATCTGTAATCCTAGTACTCAGGTGGCCAAGGCAGGAAGATCGCCATGAGTTTGAGGCTGGTCTGGGGTACATAGTTAGTCAGGGCCAGCCTGCACTACATAGTGTGACCCTGTCTCAAAAAAATAAGTAAATAAATAAAACTCATAAAACCAAAACATAGGAAAAGGTACCTAGGCAAATGTTCATATGCTGAAGCATTCCTGCCTGGCTCTGAAATTGCAAGGTTGATCTCTATCTCCAAACTCCACTATAAGCCTAAGACATCCGAGAAAGTTCAACCTTCTCTACTCCAGGCCAGGAAATCCCAGCAGAATCAAACATCCGGAGATGATTTTAAGTGGGTTTCAAAACCCAAAGTCGGGGCTGGGGATGTAGCTCAGTGGGCACAGTGCCTGTCTGGCAGGCGCAAAGTTCTGAGTTCGATCCCCAGTACCAAAAAAAAAAAACCCAAAGTGGAATACTAGACACCTCTATACATGCTGGAACCACCATGGCCTCTCAACAGATCCTCTGACTCTGAAGTGCGGTACGGCGAGTTCAGACCTTCCATTGAAATCTTTGGACTGGAGTGGAGGCAGGACTAGACATGAGAATAGAGGACAAGGGAACATTCTCACCACCAAATGTATTAACTTATTCAAGCAAATAACAATAAAAATGAGTTTCCTCAATCAATTTTTATCATTGTACCATAGAAATTAAATGTTGCTATTATCAATCATTTCAATTCATGCTTCTTCAAAGCATTGTGGTATCATACTTACTGAGACTTAAAAATACAGAATACCACCAACAGTGTAAAAATATTCTTATGAAAAAAAATATTCTTATGCCTCTCAATAGGTAATCTCTTTATACTGTTCTACCTCTGAACCAGATAGAACAGAGGATGCACAAAATTCTACTTTTCATTTCATTCTAATTCAAAGGCATACATTTATTTATTTATTTATTTATTTATTTTGGTGTTTTTTTCTACTCACTATGTAGTTTAGGCTGGCCTTGAACTCGTGGCAATCTTTCTGTCTCAGCCTCCTGAGTGCTGGGATTACAGGTGTATGCTGCCACACCTGGCAAAGACATTTATTAAATGCCTGCTGTTGGTATATAAAATACAAATTTGGTACTTTGCTTAATCTCTCAGCCTCCTTTCCTCATCTGTAAAATGTAGGAAAGAATAATAATACCTGCCTTAAAGGGCAATTGTAGGAATTTATTTGATACCACGGGATATGCTTAGCACATTTTAAGAGCTCAATAAATGTTAGCTATTATGTGGAAATTAGAATGAGGATAAAATATACCATACATATAAACTAATTTAATCCTCTCCTCCCTAATGAGTATATGTTATCACTCCCATTTTACAGATGAAAAAAATGAAGCACAAGTCAATTAAGTAACTGGCTCAAGAGTTACTGATGCTTATTTTAGCAGTCTGATGCCAACTGTACTGCCTCTTACCCAGGTAAGTCAATGGGACATATAAGTTGATGTTGGTATTTTTATTGAAATTGGATTACTTATCTGGTGATCTTGTTATTACCTGTTTCCTAAGGAGATTAAAAGTGTTTAAGACAAGGCCCAAGAGAGAACCCAAAAAGACACTCAAATCAGACATCACCAACATTACACCTGAAGAAGGTAAATGAACACTACACTAGAGCACCTACCTAAAACCAAAGCCAACTGACATCCTAGGACATATTACCAGGTGAAAGCCACCCTATAAAATAGGTAGATGCAGGCTCTCATACCTTTCCATTGTAAGACCGCTGTCCTTACCAAAGGCTCCGAGTGGATCCCAGCGGTGCCTCCAGAATGTAAGACCAAGGACCTTAGCAAATACTCCAAGGAGCTGACTGCAGCATAGAACACCCGGGAAGGAACACACCGGACAAGTTGGAAAGTAAAACAGACCTTAGTCTGGCCAGACGGCACTCCCAAAGCAAAGTAGCTTAGAGAGGCGTAGCCCAGAGTCCGAGGCTCTTTTTAATAGGGGCTTGCAGGGAAGTTAACAGGCGAAATTTACAGAAGAGGGAACAAAGGTTAGTGGTCTTACATTTGTATGTTAATTAGCCTGACATGTACTGATGGTCAGCAGATGTTTCTTAGATTGTTCTATAGATAGCGTGTGGGAACATCAGTTTTCGAACAAAGAGTTGAGTAATTATGGCTGATACAGATCTTATCTAGTGTCGGGGAACTAACAAGCATCTTTATCTATTTACTCACATTCAATCACAGTTGGGGCTAGGGGAGTTTTATGATTACAGAGTTATGCAGTCCCACACCATGATAGCCCATGCTGTGTTTCCCCACTGCAGCATGTATTTTTATCTTTATCACCCTCTTTTCCTCTTTACTCAGCCCAAGCTTACTCTTCAGAGCCAGTTTCTCTCCTACTCTTCACTTTTACCTTTTCAAATAAAGTGCCACTGCTTTTTGCTCATTTCATCCAATTCTTTGTTCAAGATGAGAACTCCAGAAGGAGAGGCCAGCAACCCAACCTGGTAACATTTAGCTGGTGAGCCACTTTTTAGAAGCAAGTTACCCAATAACAGCACAACTTCAGAATCTTGTCCAAAAGCATTTTCAGAACAGTAGAAACTCATTTAACTAAATTTCTGGAGATTGAGAAGTCCAAGATCAAAGCCCCAGAAGACTGTGTCTGGTGAGGACTGTATTCTTGCTGTAAATTTTCATGAGGGAAAAGAGTAACTTTGGGACCACATTTTCCAGCAGTACAGTTACCAGACAGAAGGTGGCTACCTGACCATATCACACCTGACATGAGTAATGGATGAGGTTTTGTGTTACTGCCTTACAGCCCAGCTCACTATAGCAGGTGATGATGGATCAAACAAATTTATAACATCATCTAACTATAGAAAAGGAGAGTTATGGGGCTGGGGATTTAGCTCAGTGGTTCCGCTGCCTGCCTCGCAAGCGCAAGGACCCGAGTTCGATCCCCAGTACCAAAAAAAAAAAAAAAAAGAAAAGAAAAGGAGAGTTTTGTGAATTGTTTTCAGCTTGGAACTTTTCAAGCAAATTTCAAAGTTTATATGAAAAAGCAGATGTGCAAAATTAACCAAGAAAATTTGAAAAAAGGTATCTATAATGTTCGATATCTCATTGTTTCTGGAAGCTTAGAAGTCCAGTAGTGTGGTGCCAGCATCTATTCAGCATCTGCTCAGCATCTGCTCAGCATCTGGCAAAGGCCTTCTTGCTGCACTGTAACATGGTGAAGAGCATCACATGGCAAGGTAGAGGAGACAGTTATGTGTATTTAAAGTCTCTAGTATCAAAGACTGACTGTGACATATTCATCTTTATATACCCAACCTTTTTTCACAGCACATGATTCATTGTTACATTTGTTATTCTTTAAATGAGAAATTGATCTTCAAAAATCACTGAAAAGGGCCAGGGATTTAGCCCAGTGGTTCCGTCACCTGCCTCGCAAGCACAAGGACCTGAGTTCGATCCCCGGTACCAAAAAAAAAAAAAAAAAAAAATCACTGAAAGTCTTTTTTTCAACCTATCATATTACTTCTAAGAAACCTCAATATTAAAAAAAATTTGTAGATGCAACTACCCTACTGTTACCTGGTAGGGCTCTTGTCTAGGTTCTTGATGTCCTAAACCAAAATTTGAGCAAGATACCCAAAAGTGTGGTAGCACAATCAAAGGTTTATTTGAAAGACAAAAGACAAGATAAACTCCACCGGGTTGGATTGGTCAGTGAGAAGAGCTCACACCTCAAGAGGGCTTGATGTTGAAAGTTTTAAACCTTGGGATTTGAGGTAGGTTTGAGGGGTTGGTCTAAAGATGACTCCTGCCAAAGCGTGTCTTGACTTGGCTCCTCCATTGTGTAGTGGTGTTTTTGAGCTCTTATGGCCCTTAAAACCCATTCACCAATAGCCATGAGCTCTGGATGCCACACACAATCTGCATAGTCAGTGACATGGTAATTAGTGTTGGTGTCAGCCAAGGATTGCAGACCACTGGGTGTGTGCCCAGGGACTTATTATATATTAGCTAGATTACCTGGCTACCTTTTCCTATTGTAATTTAGACCTGGGCATCCTGGTCCGGGGCTAATGTCTAACTGAGAAGGTAGATCCAGTCCCAGAAAGCAGGCTCCAAGGCAGGCCCTATCTTCTTTCCCCAAACATTTCCTTGATTACCTTACACCTCATATTTAGCCCAGAAAGTGGGCTTTTAGGGAAAGCTCTTTCTTCCTCCAGCTTTTTCCTTAGCTACCTCCTGCCTCATTACCAGATACACAAATACCAACATCAGAACACAAGAAGCGTGAAAAATTAAGGTAACATGACACCTCCAAAAGAACACAATAACTGTCTAGCAACAAAGAAAAGGAAATGAATGGATTGTCTGGCAATTCAGAAGAATGAATTTTTTAAAACTTAATGAGATATAAGAGAACACAAGGGGACAATTCAGCAAAAGTATATGATCTGAATGAGAAATTTAACAAACAGATAATAAAAAAGAGCCAATTAGAAATCTTAGTGCTAAAGAATAGAGGGATTTAAAAAAAAGACAGTTGAGTGCCTCAATAGCAGAATTGATCACGCAGAAGAAAGAATTCCTGAGCTAGAAGACAGGCCTTTTGAAATGATTCAGTCAGATTTAAAAAAAAAAAAGAAAGAAAGAAGGAAAGAAAGAGAGGGAAGACAGAGGGGTGTCAGGAGCCATTCTACGTAATTTTGGGGAAAAATCATTTCACAATTAAATTATGATTAGGCCTAGTCTTCTTGCCTACAGGCAAGCTATGACATGCCAAAACATAACTCCATTTTTGCCTCCGGTCACAGCTAAGACCTCAGTGGTCCCGTGACACTCAAGGGCAAG